CAATAATAAAGAATAATAAAACCACTGTTTTACGTAATCTCGCCACTAGTTTGGAATTTATTAAATTTTAATTGTAAACACTAAAAATAAAGGTTTTGAAATGCCCTGTGGCGTTGCTTAAGCCTCTAATTTTTAAAAATATATTGCACTTAAAAAATAGGTTGTATAACATTTATTTTGTTGTCAAAGTACTTAAAATGGCGACATGCATCATGCGCATACTACTTAACGCAGCTTTTGTGTTGGGTATTTAAATAGTCAGCTGTTCAGCAGTACCTGTTTCTATCAGCAGGTGGGAGTGGGACTGTTGTTCCAAGTATTAAAAAAATTTCTTCGTCATTCATTCGAAATAAAATAACTAATCAATAAAATGTGCGTCATGTCAATGTAAATACATGCAAATTATTCAGAAAAACGTCAATTGTACTAGCTTTTTTGATATAGATATCTAGACATATTTATCTAGATATGATAAAGCCAGTCACATCTGTTTCTGTAATAGATAATCACAGTGAGTTCATGCATCAAGCCAATTTTTTTATAGCTATATTCTACTGTAACATGCTATGTCGGTTAACATTGGATTATATATCGACTGTTGTTCAGCGGGGTGTATGAGATGCATCGTTACCCCTTTCGACCCTAGCAACGGCCATGGTAATGCCGGTGTAAAATGTAAATAAATTACAGTAAAAGTACTGTAGAAAGTACAGTCATATTGTAAAATTGAAATGTGGTAAAGGGCATTTTACCATAAAAAGAAGTTGTGGTAAGGCTATTTTACTGTAAAATGAAATTGCAGTTGTGCCCTGCTACTGTAAAACACATTTACAGTAAGTTACTGTAAAGGGCTGTCAGTAAGTTAAATACAATAAAAGGTCTAACAGTGTATGCCTTTAAAAATATGATTTAAAACATACTTTTAAAAGTAAATTAACTTTTATTTGTTTTTGTTTTTTCAATTTATTTTCATCAGACCTGTTTGCAAAAGCTGTTTAGACATCCTGAAGTGCTCCGATGAACAAATCAGGTGCCATTACTGCTTTTACATGCGCAAAACTACTTGTGCTGTTGATTTATTATTATTATGACAGTTCTTTCAATTTTAATTGTCTTTTTTCCATCTCATAGTTACTATTAATCATATTTTGAGTCAATGAAAAATGCTAAATGATACTTCATTGTGATAAACAGCTCCAGACGAGGCTTCTATCGATGTTCGCACAGTTTCAATGTTGTCTGGATCTTGGTATTTGCATTTTTCTCCGCTCATTTCTTGCTATTCAAAATCACACCTCTGCTATCTGACTTAATGAGCGTAACCGTGTCGTGTCGTGTGTGCGTTTATAATGCACAGGGAGAGAACAAAAGCAGTGTTGATTCAGTACTAGAGTTACTGTGTTACAAAGCGTTCGGTCCTTATCCTTCAGTGGCTTCATACAGGTTTAATCATATCTAAGTGTTGATGCTAAACGTTTTTACATGTGATTTGCTGTGGAAAGGTCTGGGTTTGTCCCGTTTCCATCCTGCTATAAGTTCTACCTGTGAGCAGTTATGAAGAGGTAGCTTTGATAGTAATAATCTGCTGGATTTGTTATGCACAGAGCCAGCAGGAAAGAAACCGTGTCTGTCCGTAGGCTGTTTTCAGTATATGCTGTACGTAGCATTTAGAAAGCATTTTTAAAAAACGGGGCCAGTAGAAGTCAATGTAGTTTGGGTAAAGTGTCCTTATTCTCTGATCACTGCCATCCCCATTCCCCCCTGACCCACCTCCATTATTCATCTGCAGCTTTTCAGAAATGATCACAGAAATGAACTATTCTGTTGTCTTGCGTAAAGTACACTTTTTTTCCACATGTTCAAACTATTTATTTAAAATAAGCTGAATCAACACAATTCTTGATATTTCATTGGGACAACTTAATTTTTTTATGTTCAATCCACATAAATTAGTTAAAAGTGTTAACTTTACAGTGTAGATTCAACACCATTCTCCATATCATGTAAAAATTACATGACAATAAGTCGTGACAAGAAATGTTTATATGTTGCTTTAACTTATTTTAACAAGTTATCCAGGTTTCAACTACTTTATTTAGGTTATGAAAAGTGTAACCTCTAGATGACTAGAAAAGTTTATTTAATTCAACTCAAAAATGTGAAACATCAAGAATGTTTTTAGGATTTACTCTATAAAGGTGTGGAGAGTTTAATTGGGAACTTATTGGGCTAATCAACAGTATTGTGGGTCTTATGGGTCATGCTTATCTTTTTATGAAACCTTTTAAAGGCAACATAGATGAAATTGTAACCCTATATACATTTCTGGAGATCATGATTTATGTAGCCAGAAATACGTATGGCTGGATTTCATCTTTAAAATGAACAATTTGGGGCGGTATGATGCCATTCCTTTTTTCGTTTACCAACTCACCGCTTACCTCCATATGGGCTGCTTTCCCATTGTTACCAGTTTGTCCAGTTAGCGTCATGAGTCAGATTTGATCTAATCTTCTCTGTTGCTCACTTCAGCTGTTTCCCCTTGCAATCAGCGCTGGCACGCATACGTTACTCATCTGTTTCTATTTGATCCAATTCAGCTCTCTACTTATACCTGCCCTGTCTTGTTACACTTTGTTAGATTATTGTGTTCATTAAAGCCTTTGGACGCTCTCGCTCTAAGCAAACCTTACTTTAATCCCAGTGTAGTCCAACACCTGATTTGTTATTTGACTTTATTTTGCTTACCTGTGATCTGCACAGCCTCCTCGCTGTTGAAGCCCAGCTTCTCACCTGCGCTTGCCAGCTCCAGCCCTCGCTCCGCTGCGAGGGAGCTGAGACAGATTTTCTGTTGCTCATCTCCCAGTCTGTGTCATCCCAAGGGTGGTTGGAACGGCAGCTGCCGTCGTTCTTCATTATTATTAAATAAACTCTTTCTATTTGAACTGCAGCCTCTCTGTTTTCTGTCCGAACCTGACAGTAAGCTCACCATGTACGTCGGCGGACTTGAGACGGTCAATCTGTGATTTTGAAAACACTATTGGTTGGGTTTAGAGAAGAGGGAGGGTGGGTCAGTTGATCAGTCAGTCAGTCAGGCAACAGTGTCCTCTGGTGTATTTACACGAGAAGGCGTGAATGGCACTTGTGAAAGAAATTTGAGATCTCAAAAAACGTACACAGCAACCTGTGGATTCATGAAAACAAAAACTGCAAAAAAACATGAGATGTATTTGGTGCTCTCCAGAAATGTGTATAGTGGTACATTTTCAGAATGAGCCTGGGTTGTTTACAATACATGCTCAAATTAACCAATATTTCAAACACTGTAAAAAAAATGTAATGACAAAAAGTCAAGACAACAAATATTTTTTGTTGCTTACTTTAATTTTAACTTATTTTAATAATTTAATAATTTTTGTAAAATATACAGTTTAACTTGATATTTTGAGTCAGTTGGATTGATGTAAGTTGAGATGACTAGAAAAGTTAATTGGATTCATCTAAAAAATTTAAGTCGGCAAGAATGTTTTTGCAGTGTTGCTTTGGAGAAAAACATTTCAAAATTCAGTTTTTCTAGATTTACTAGTTAAATGTTAACATTTGTTTTATTTTATAAAGGTCTTATAACATTGCTTCCCAATTTCTCTTTTTTAATCTAATGCTTTCCTTTGTTATGATTCCTAAATCAGGGTTATCATTCCTTAACTCCTCTCAACTCAAAACATTGGTCATGCGTAATCTAAAAATGAATATAAACGTGTCTAAAAAGTACAGAATATTTAAACTATGATAAAAGTCTGCTGTTTATTACATAAAATGTCCAAAATCTGCATTTATTTTTGGTATTGTAGCCAGCACTCAGGACCATTATTATGTTCCCGTATTATTGGTATTAATTTTTTTATTTTGTCAATATCAGTCTAAACATTCCCTGTCAGTAAATTTGTGCCTTAACTTTTTAGTAAGGTACATGTTTGATTTTAACCTCTGCAGACAGATTGCTTTTTGGGAGCTCTGTGGATTTATTTTTTGAATGCATATTTATGCTGTATTTAGTTTTAAATGTCATTATGTCATTAGGCAACACAATCTCACTACGATTTGTAACTATTTTCCGTTAGTATTTGTATGATTCCTTGCTATCTCGTTCGTACATTTTGATACAGTCTATCCAGTGTATTATATTTAGGGGTTGTGGGTGGAGTTAGGGTGTGGTCAGAGGTTTTTTTGTACGAATGAGATTGTATGAATTTATTTATACATTACTAATCGGCCAAAAAATATGTTACGTTGTAAAGAAAACGTTAGGAAATTGATCAGACTCATCTCATTTTGTTAAAAGTTTATTAAACAAATAAATTAAAGAACATTTGAACTTTCCCTTCCACCGTCCCGGTAAAACCATGGTGAGTGTTACTGACTCTTCCATCCATGAGAATACTAGATGATTTCTTTTTTCGTCTGTGAAAGTTATGTTTCATGCAATGGCATGTTGGGAAAAGACGATGAGAAGCGTATCTAAAATAAGCGAGAGCCATTTACTATGCAAATGTGTACAGTGCTGCATGCTAATGCTTTATCTGCCTCTGCAACATAATGGCTTCAAATGGAGTTCAAATGGAATTGTGGGAATTGTGCAGGACAGTATTTTGAGAGAAATGCAACACTGCATGCATTTTATTCCATTTGCATCGTCAGATTAAAGAAACACTATGTGATTTTCGGGAACTAGATGTGTAAAGAGAATTTAAGTTTTCTTTTGTAAAATAAATTTGAATGTAAAAAGTCTTGTGATGTTTTTATTCGTTGTTTGATACAATCTTTTATAGACTAAAGTAATTAGCAGTGACAATCTATCATTTTTGGGTGACACGTTGGCTCAGTGGTTAGCACCCACTGTCGCCTCCACTGTGTGGAGTTTGCATGTTCTTCCCGTGTTGGTATGGATTTCCTCCGGGTGCTCCGGTTTCCCCCACAGTCCAAAGACGTGCGCTATAGGTGAATTGAATAAACTAAATGGCCATAGTTTTTTATTTATTTTTTGATTATCAATGCTTGAACAGTAAAAGGAAGGCATTAATACTTTTTAGAATTACACAAAAGACTGAGATAAGAATCAATACATTCACAATCTTTCCATCCTCATTAATAATAGTAATAGAAAATATATAAACAAATAACATAACGAAAATTAACAAAAATTAAATGACAAAGAAAAATATGTAGCAGGGGTGTTGAAGATCTCAAAATATGAAACCAAAATCCTCTAATGATGAATATAAACTTAAAAAAATATTCATATTAATAAAAATTATTCAATTTCATAAAAAATACAGATAGCCTATTGTATATCACCTTTCATCCCAAAAATATAGAGATTTAAATAAAATATCTGTCTATAGAGATATACATTTTGGTCAGTATCCCCCAGCCCTATTTTGACATACCGATAAGACACTTTAGGAATCCTTTGAAAAGGTATTGCCACACTGACAGCTCCCATATGCATAGGCATATAATGCGCTTTTACATTAAATTAATGTCACATTTTAAATGTACAATCCAATAAAAGTAAATTATTCATTTAACAGTTTAAATAACTATTATAAATAATAGCACCGATTAAAGCTACATTTTTAATTGACAGGGTATAAGGTGGAATAAATTTTACAGCATAGGCTTTGAGTAATATTTATTAGAAAATATATGTTTTCTCTACTTGTATAACATTTTATGGCAAGTAGTACTTGAGTCTGATTTTTCAGCTCTCTTCCCACAACTTTTGTCCTCATCTGACGAACAAGTAATCATAGCTTTAAATAGCGCCATCTTATGGACTGACTAAGCATATTCAGCATATATCTTCGCAAAAAAACTATTTCTCAGCCATTTACTTATTTTATTAAGCAATTTTATTCCGTAATGTGTCACCAAAACAATATATTTCTAACAAAATAACTCATGCTGATAAGTAATAACTATATGTTACATTAAATTAGCAAAAGCAAACATGTAGGTTAAGCCTTTTCAATATTCACTCTTCACCTAAACTCTCTTCTAAATATATTAGCCTACAGTATATTTTCTGAGGTCAAAAATGCTAAACACATTTACCTTCCTAAACCACAACTCTGAAACAGCTTTCAGTTTGACAGTAACAGACGTGACACAGTTTGAGTCTGATTACAGGCTGGCAGGTTTCGCTTCTAGATTAGCATCAGGCTCTTTAGAGGTGCTGGTTTTGACCGTCGTCTCGTTCAGAGCTCGGTTTTGCTTCTCTCTCTCAAGCGCTTTCTCCATCTCTGTGTAATAATCCAGGGCTTTCCGCACTGGATCGATAATGTGTTGCTGCAAGGTAAATATAAAAGCAATTTACCCATTACACAGCAATTTTAGAGCAGCTAAGTGGCTGCGCTCCATGTTGAAGGCCTACCCACACTGTAAAAAAATAAATCTGTCAATTAATATTCTGTATTTTGTGTTTTACAGGTGTTTTTGGTTTATTTACGGTTGTGAATTGCATTATCGGATTTTAATCTCTGATCTCCCCACTTTTGCCTTTTATTGACATTTTAGTAGTTTGAGACAAGATGTTATTTATGTTTGTAAAATAACAGAAAAAGTACTCGCAGCTTATTACCAAGTTTTTGTATTGTAATTTACAACACCAACCCTGACAATATTTTACTTCACACAATTAAACTGTTAAAAAAGTCCAAATTTTTAAACCTTTCAACATCAAAGGCTTTTAGAGGAAGATCAAGGTTCCATAATGCAATTCAAAAGCATAAATTCAGTCATTCACTGAGTGTAATAACATTCATTCACTGCAAATTCTCTCAGCAAGACAAAGTTCCATAGTTAGTTCATAGTTTAAACTAGCATTGTGTGTAAGTTTGCCAAAGTTGACCTGTGTATAACAAAAACTAGAATTCTTCTACATGACAAATATACTATAGCAGCTTATAGTAAAAATATAGTGTGTTAAAGCATACTGTAGTAAGATGCTTGAATGATTGTGTTGTCCTATAGGTGCTATGGTATGGTATAACAACTTTGGTAGTAAAGCACGTTACACAATAGGCCTACTCTAATTTCTATAACTAGCCTGTGTTTATTGTATATATGCATGTACACCACAGTTTACTGTAATAATAATAATAATAATTCCTTACATTTATATAGCGCTTTTCTGTGCACTCAAAGCGCTTTACACACAATGGGGGGATCTCCTCATCCACCAACAGTGTGCAGCATCCACCTGGATGACGCGACGGCAGCCATTTTGCGCCAGACCGCACACCACACACCAGCTGATTGGTGGAGAGGAGACAGCGATGAAGCCAATTGGAATATGGGGATGGTTAGGAGACCATGATAGACAAAGGCCAGTTGGCAGATTTGGCCAGGATGCCGGGGTTAAACCCCTACTCTTTTCGAAGGACATCCTGGGATTTTTAACGACCACAGAGAGTCGGGACCTCGGTTTAACGTGTCATCCGAAAGACGGCGCTCACTGAGCAGTATAGCGTCCCCGTCACTATACTGGGGCATTAGGACCCACACAGACCGCAGGTTGGGCGCCCCCTGCTGGCCTCACTAACACCACTTCTAAAACTAAAGTACAGTATAGTACAGTGAATCAGGTCATAACAGTTAATCCTACAATATGCTGTAGCATTCATTAGCAAAGTGTTGTGAATAAATAATATATAAAGTACAATACACTTTACTATAGATTGGTTCAAAAAGCACTATAGTATTTTTTCATCTGTAATCATCATTTTCCTGTCAGAAATTGCTCACCTCCAGACAGGGAAACAGATTGGCCAGTTCGATGAAGAGAGGGAAGAGAACGAAGCGGATGAATCCCGTCTGAGAAGAAGGTTTGGTCACTTTGTCTCGATCCATAAATGGGGTGACAGGAAGGCCCTCCAACTTCTCCATATCACTCTACACATTTTTTTTTTTTACATTAGATAAAATCAATTCAAATACGGTCCAAGCAACCATAAAGAATAATTGGAAAATAACAATTATTCCATTAAAAAGATATCCTTATAGATATCTAATAGTGGGTGCATACTATATTTTATTTACGCAAATGAGGATAGTAATTCAAAGTAAGTGAGGGAGGTAGAATGCTAGTGTGGTTCTAGTTAGAATATTGTGATACTAACAGCTGTCTGGATTATTTTTGCTTGATTGTAATCCATTATATACACTACCTTTCTATCGAAGTCATCTGACATTATCAAGATTAATTTGTTCAGTTTGACTGGGAAAAACTTAAGCGAATATATTGTGATAACTTGAGAAATGTTTGACTGTATAATTTACCTGGTTGAAGAACTCTTGCAGCAGACAGTCCAGCCACGGCTCGGCCACATCCATGGGTCTGGCCTCGTTGGAGATATCACTGACTTTAATCATGATCATCATCAACTGAGAAACAAACACTCAAAGCTAATCATCATCAACAACAGCCATAAAACGCTGAATGCTTTTAGCAGCTAAACTAGATTTAAAATAGATTTTTCTTTTTTTTTTTAACAAAGGCATCAGTGGACAGTAACTGTTTTTTTTTTTTTTTTTTTTTAAGTAACAAAAAAATATGTTTTCATGACTTTTTGTCGAATTTCTTTACAGGGCAGTATAATGGACACTGTTTTTATTACTGTGATTGCAATTTTTAAGTACACTGTAAAATGTTATATGACAAAAAATCATGACAACTAATGTTTTTGTTTTTTTCATTTTCATCAGTTAATCAGATTTCACATACAAAGTTTAGCTTAATCTTTTTTTACCAGTTTGAATGATGCAAGTTGAGATGACTAGAGAAGTTGAGATGGTTCAACAACAACAACAAAAAAATGTTTTCTTTTACAGTGTATCTATACTTTATTATTGTATAGTATTTTGTTTAGGAATCTTTTGCTTCATGTTTTTCCTAAACAAACTATTGCAATTTTACTTGAGATAACTGCTAGTTTGGTCGTCTCTACAAGGAATTTTAAATATACCTGAATATTAAACCTTAAAATTATTCATTGATAAAGGGATAGTTCTCCAAATTAAAAAAGTTACTTATACTCTTATACTTATACTCACACTTAAGTGGTTAATAACTTTTATAAGTTTCTTTCTTCTGTTGAACTAAACACGATATTCTGAAGAATGTTAGAAAAACAGACTTACTATGGAAGTCAATGGCCGCTGCTTTCCAACATACTTCAGAATATTCTTCAAATGGAGGATAAGTAAATGGTGAAAGAATTTTTGAGCACCTTTTTTATAATTTTTTATAAAGACTTTATAATTCATTTAGAGAATTTTCAGCACCTTTTACTTTTAATTCTTAAGTGCAGTAAAATAAGTATAAAATAAGTAATTAGTAAAATTGAAAAGGAGGACTTTATACAATTACTGGAGTAATATTTATTAGCGTATCTGTACATTCACTCAAGTGCTTGAACCTTGTCCACCACCATGTCCACCACTTGTCTACGTAGTAGCAATCACTTAACAGCAACCTGACAACCTCTTAATTCACCCAAGCAGCATGGCCTTTTTGGGTTTGATCATATTCCATCCTCACCACATCTCTGTGATCCTTGTTGCCAAAGTCAAACACAGGTAAAATGGCTTTAAACTTGTTGAGGATGTCTGTATGTCTGGACATATCAGTAGCAAGAATACACCTGCAGGGAAGATAAGTAATGTTAAGTAAGTTTTAATTTAAGTTTGGAATTAATATGCACATGTTTGTCAAGATAAGATAAGTTAAGTAAATGATATACTGTACTTAATTATGCCCTCTCTTATTCTTTTGTATTGCTCTGTCGGCAAGTTTCGGAAAATGTTGCTTTCAGTCTGAAAAACAAGTCAGACAGCTGTTGTTTGAATGGATATATTTAACCCTTTCCAATATTAATATAGATATCGCAACTCTGAATATGAAAAAGTGATTATGTAAAAATATCAGTATCACTGTTGTTTGGTCCAATGCAATGAAATTTTGGTATTTTTGTCATCCATCTAACCATCCACCCATTCAATCATCTATCCATCCATTTAGCCATTCTTCCATTCAACCAACCATCCATTAAACCTTTTATCCAACCATCCATCCAACCAACTATCGATCCATACATCCATTCATCCATCCATTCAACAATCCATTCATCCCTCCATCTATTCATACATCCATCCAACCAACCATCCATCCATCCAACTAACTCAAAAAAGTCAAAGTCCATCCATCGATCAATTAATACATCCAACCAATCATCCATCCATCCCTCCATCTATTCATACATCCATCCAACCAACCATCCATCCATCTAACTCAAAAAATCCATCCAAGCCCATCCATCAATCAATTCATACATCCAACCAATCTTCCATCTATCCATTCATCCAACCATACATCCATTCAACACACCATCCATCCATCTAACTCAAAAAATCCATCCCAGCCCATCCATCAATCAATTCATACATCTAACCAATCATCCATCCATCCATTCGTCCAACCATACATCCATTCAACACACCATCCATCCAACTATCTCAAAAAATCCATCCAAGTCCATCCATCAATCAATTCATACATCCAACCAATCATCTATTCATCCATCCATTCGTCCAACCATACATCCATTCAACACACCATCCATCCATCTAACTCAAAAAATTCATCCAAGCCCATCCATCAATCAATTAATACATCCAACCAATCATCCATCCATCCATCCATTCGTCCAACCAATCATCCATTCAACACACCATCCATCCAACTATCTCAAAAAATCCATCCAAGTCCATCCATCAATCAATTCATACATCCAACCAATCATCCATTCATCCATCCATTCGTCCAACCATACATCCATTCAACACACCATCCATCCATCTAACTCAAAAAATCCATCCAAGCCCATCCATCAATCAATTCATACATCCAACCAATCATCCATCCATCCATTTGTCCAACCATACATCCATTCAACACACCATCCATCCATCTAACTCAAAAAATCCATCCAAGCCCATTCATCAATCAATTCATACATCCAACCAATCATCCATCCATCCATTGGTCCAACCATACATCCATTCAACACACCATCCATCCAACTATCTCAAAAAATCCATCCAAGTCCATCCATCAATCAATTCATACATCGAACCAATCATCCATTCATCCATCCATCCATTCGTCCAACCATACATCCATTCAACACACCATCCATCCATCTAACTCAAAAAATTCATCCAAGCCCATCCATCAATCAATTAATACATCCAACCAATCATCCATCCATCCATCCATCCATTCGTCCAACCAATCATCCATTCAACACACCATCCATCCAACTATCTCAAAAAATCCATCCAAGTCCATCCATCAATCAATTCATACATCCAACCAATCATCCATTCATCCATCCATTCATCCAACCATACATCAATTCAACACACCATCCATCCATCTAACTCAAAAAATCCATCCAAGCCCATCCATCAATCAATTCATAAATCCAACCAATCATCCATCCATCCATTTGTCCAACCATACATCCATTCAACACACCATCCATCCATCTAACTCAAAAAATCCATCCAAGCCCATCCATCAATCAATTCATACATCCAACCAATCATCCATCCATCCATTGGTCCAACCATACATCCATTCAACACACCATCCATCCAACTATCTCAAAAAATCCATCCAAGTCCATCCATCCATCCATCCATCCATCCATCTAACCATTCATCCATTCATTCATCCAACCAACCATCCATCCATCCAACCATCCATCCATCCATCCATCCATCCATCCATCCATCTAACCATTCATCCATTCATTCATCCAACCAACCATCCATCCAACTATCTCAAAAAATCCATCCAAGTCCATCCAACCGTCCATTCATCCATCTGTCCATTCATTCATCCATCCATCCAGCCATACATCCAACCAACCAACCAACCATCCATCCATCCATCCATCCATCCAACTAACGCAAAAAACAAATAAGGAAAAATGCTTACCTTTTCCAGGATTTCAAAGGCTACAGCGCAGTGGTGATTTTCCAGTGGGGAGATGTCATTGTATCTTAGAGCAAGTTCAGTTCGTGCATTAATCTGAAATGTGACATAGTGTCTTCATTTTTCAGTGTACTGTATTATTAAACAGCAGCAGAGCCAGTCAAAGCCCCTCTCACCTGGTAGGCGTTGTTGTATCCAGTGTGATCTAAATCGTGACAGACAGCCGAGGTCAACATGATGAGGAGATCAATGCTGTCAATCTTGCTTCTGAGATCTGTTAGCCATATGAGCCCATACATCTGACAAACAAATGGACCCAGATATTAGCGGTCAGAACTTTTTTTACTTTGAACCTTGACTAGAAAGCTACAAGTGTCCAGCAGTTGGTGCCCAAAACCAAGTTTAAGCAGCACTAATCGAGTACATGCAATTTGTACATGTATTTGAAAACGTAACATTCTGTAGTGCATTTAGTTACTGTTTAAGGCCATTTGGCAATTTCCAACAGCATAGGCGTCCTTCATATTTTCATCAGTGATCAGTATTAAGGGTAATGCATTAATGTGAGTTATGTAATAATATATTACTTTCCTAAGTAAGGAGTAAAGAAATGCATCACTTAAAAAAATAAGTAATAATATTTGAATTGCTTTTTTTAAAAATGTAACGTGAGCTACTTTTATTTTAATTAATTAGCTTTTAAAAATTAATGGTCAATTAAAATTAATATAGTTAAATTGAATCATGCACTTAATGAAAGAATGCATTCATTATTTTGAACAAATTGAAGAAAAGGTAAAAGGGATTAACAACTAATGTGACAAAAAGTACAAAAATGGCAAACACATTGCTTTAAAGTTTCATTAATGTTGTAGAGCATGTATATACATGTAGCTCTGGGGTCAGGAAGTTCTCAAAAGATAATATTATTCTAAATTTGTTTTTTAAAGGTAAATGAAGGTGTAAGTTAGACTTGCAAGTTAGACTAGTTGTTGATTGCAGAGCTCCTCTATTTAAAAATATAGGGAAAAACCCTGCAAGTTCTGAAAGAGATCAAGCTTCAACAAAGGTAATGATAAAGTAAAGTAACTCATTAACGCACCTAGATAATTTTGAGGGGAGTAACTTAATATTGTAATGCATTACTTTCAAAAGTAATTTCCCCAAAACTGTCACTGACATCCAGTCTAAACAGTCTCTTAGTAACATGTAAATTGTAAAAAATGGTTCCTTCGTGTTGTCCCAACATAAATTGATTAAGTTAATTTAATCGTTATTACAACTTGAAGTGGAGTAAACATAAAACAGTTAAGATGTCCTAAAAACGTTAAAAGTATGTTGTTTCCACTCATTTTAAATAAGTACTAGTAACAAAAGTCATTTTTGGAGTCTAACAATTTTGTCTTCTTGGACACAATTAGAATTAGCAGGAATCATGGGACTGATTATTCTACTTAGCCAATCACTGTAGTCAAGAGAAAATAACCGTACAAAAGATGTGACTGCACACTGTAAAAATGCTAGGTTCCACACAATTTTTTCATTTTTTTCAAACACAAATTGATCAAGTTAATTGTTGTGATCAGTGGTATTTTCTCCACTGGAGATCACCTCCAGTATTGTTATCGAACTACAACTTCCAGAACTCTTTACACTCATTAACTCCTGTGACAGCTGACAATAATCCATACACACACACACAGCTAAGACTCATGATTACTGATTACATGGACCATATATACCACTTATTTTCACAGACACTTTGCTGAGTCCTGTTTATTTTCAACTTTACAAAGTAGGTTTTCCTTGTCTAATCTTCCGGTGTTTTTGACCTTTTGCTTGTTTACCATTTTTGGTTCTTTGCCACCTAAGCCTGACCATTTGACTGTTTTGCTTTTTGCATTACATTTATGCACCTGTTTGTTCCTGTTTTTGACCATTGCCTGTACAACTTCTCACTAATAAACTGCATATGGATCCTTGTTCGTTGTTAGCGTCCAATCGTTAGAATTATTTTTTTGTTTTTACAAATTTAAGTGGATTGCACATAAAACAATTGAATTGTCGCCCCAAAAAACTCAAGATTTGTGTTGATTCAGCTCGTTTTAAATGAGTAGATCTAACAAGCAGCAAAAATAACTTTTTGAGTGCTGGTTAAAGAAAAGTGGTGCAGTAAAAGTAACAATACAGCACTAAAAATGTACTCAAGTAAAAATAAAACACTGTAAAACATGATATGATCAGTTAGTCCTGACAGCATATGTTTTTAGGTTGTAGTAACTTATTAATCTAAGGTAATCATGTTCTTCCTTAATTTTATAAGTTTCGCAAGCTGTGTAACATAATATAAGTTCAATGGACCCAAAAGGTTAATTTGATTCAGCAACCTAGCAGCACTAGTAAAATTCCTGAGAAAATCTACTCGATTACAGTGATTTCATTATTTGAATTTGATTACTTTACAACTAACCTTCAAAAGCTAATATGAATCACATAAACACTAAAACAAATTATTCATTGCAATCACTAAATTGTTTTAAGGTAAGTGGTTGCAAAACAATTGATATGGGCTAAATTTAAACAAACTAATTGAGTTGAATTAAGTTTAACTAAGTTGAAGTTGAATTAAGTTGAATTAATTTGATTCAGTCCATATAAATTGTTTGCAAAAAATAAAAAGTAAATTCAATTAATAATGTTTTTCAGTGTACTGTTTTCTCTTTTCATCGCTTTGGATAACATTAACTTACTGCAGACAATTAAGCGAAAGAGACTGGATTCCAGTAAAATTACAATTGAGGTTTCGATGGCAGCTGTTTGAGTGAAATGATGGCTGTCTGAGGCCCGGAATTTATAAATCAGGCAGAAGGAGAAGTGGATAAGTGAAGATAATCCTGAGGCTGATTGCAAACCCTCTTACCATCTGGGTGACGCAGAAGCAATGCTTGAAGTTGTGGAAGGGGATGTTGTTGTAGCGTCTGTACACTTCATAAAGAAACTGCTGCAGCACATCCGGCTCGATGTTGAACGTGGAGATGAAGTCCAGATCTGTGTACATCACCTGGAGCAACACCATTATCTCCGCGTCCTCCCATTGCCTACCAACACAAACTCTTTCTATAAAGTTTATTTAGGGGAATAAACAGGTTTTCCTATTAACCCTGTGTGTAGAATCAGATCTTGTGTTAATTTGAATGCAGCAAGTCCACTTTCGGACGCATTAATGAACATGAAGCTCTAGTGGTTTACTCACAAAAAGTGCTTTTCATTTGTAAACATCGAACAAGAGCATTAATATTGATATGAGGTCCTTCGGGCAGATGAAAGGTTTGATCTCTGCTGCGTTCGTTCTTTATGCTTATTTTAGAAGTGCCGTGCTTTGCTTCACTAACAATTTCCTATTCATGTTTGACAGGTGCAGGACTTTGATGTGGCCACAACTGTGAAGTACCCATGTTTCCTATTTATTTCCAAAAATAAGTCATATTTCTGCCACGTTCACTACTTTATTAACAACATTATTGCTATTATTTATGATTATTATTACTTGACTTGCCTGTTTCTACTTTAAATACGTCCATACGTTTATAGGACATGCTCATTGTATTTTTTACACACTCTCTGTTAGAAATTACCTTACTATTTTTCCTCTTTGTGCTTCTCTATTTTCTTTTTCTTTTATGTGTATATATATATATATATATATATATATATATATATATATATATATATATATATATATATATATATATATACATACATATATATATAAAAAGAAGAATTTTTCTCACAGTTTTTTTGAGAAATTTCAGACAGCACTTAAAGGCTTTTGCATCTGAACTCTTTGTGATGTTCTATATACAAATTTCAGGAGGAGCATGCACAGATGTTTCAACAATTCTAGTACATCACTGACATCATTCAGTTATCCAATCAGGCCAAACCCCTATAAATACCAAACTCGTCCAACCTCCATTATCTCACGACTTTAGCATCCCTCCACCACCCCAACACCTCACCTCGTAAACAATATCTACCTAGGGGGAGCGTTCTGGGGCCAGGCTAGACTCTTCATTCTGACCCCAACATCTCTCACTTTCCCAACTATAGGGGAATAACACAAGTTGGGGTGTCTTTTCCAAGCTCAGAGCCCTCTCCCTAGACAGCATGCTAAATATGCTTTATTCTTTCAAACATCTCTAATTTTGAAGTCATGAAATATGTACTTGTTACCCACAGTATATGTCCACACCTCCCACCTTTTTTTTTCTGAGCTTTCTGAGGTAAATAATTATATGGTATTAAGAATAATGAAAACTAAGTATGAAGTGTGTGTATGTGCACTATTTCATATGTAGTGACAGTTCTGAAGATCTGAAAACTTTTGAAAATCTTACCAGTTATCAAAAGTTGGTGTTTTAAGATACTGTCTCACCTCTTCTGAAACTTCCAGAGAACTAGAGAAAATAAATGAGATTTTTATTTACTTCTTTATATTCAATACATATTACACTCTTCCATATTTGACAGGAATGTCACCTCATTTGGAGAAACTTTTCTCTGACATGCTCACACTCCTCCCGGGTTTTCCGCAACGTTCTTTTGTGGTAAAAAGGAGAGGGTTTGTGGGTTCCTTCTGACATGTCCTTAAACAAACCCAGCCAGCTCAGGTGCTCCACGCTCTGCAGAAAAACACAGTAAGCTATGTAGGCTAGAAATGTAGAAATGGGACAAGGATTAAAAAGAAGGTCAAGCAACAAAATAATAAAGATTTGTTTAATATTTTTCATATTGTAAACATGACTTTTCTAAGCCCAAAAAAGAACATTGTAAACTTAAATTGATTTACAGGTACTGACTCAAGTTTAATTTCAATACAAAAAGCAAATCATTTTTGTTTAGTCATTTTCAAACAAATTTGTCATTCAGCCAGATATATAGGTAGATTAATAGAATGATAGACGGATGGATGGATGGATGGATGGATGGATAGATAGATTGATTCAGACCTCCAGTTTCTCTCTGAAAGACTCCACCTGTCTCTTCATCTCATACACAATAGCAGGAGTCTCCGCTGCTTCTGTCAAGATTCTTTTCTCCAGACTCTGTAACCTAAGTAAATTACTAAATTTAATCGTGAAACTTTTATGTGCTCTAACAAACTTCAGAAGCCCCGCCCACTCACAAAACCCCGCCCCTTAAAGGCATTCGAACTTCTTGTCAGTAAATCCAGAGACAGTTATTTTGGAATATGCAAAACAACAGGCTGAGGGCATTTCTGATTGGATAGTGTTCGTTTGCTGAATTCACTGAGGGGCGGTGCAGTGGGTAGCACTGTCACCTCACAGCAAGAGGGTCGCTAGTTCAAGCCTCAGCTGGGTCAGTTGGCGTTTCTGTGCAGAGTTTGCATGTTCTCCCATCTTCGCGTGGGTTTCCTACAGGTGCTCCAGTTTGTCCCACAAGTCTAAAGACATGCGGTACAGGTGAATTGGGTAAGCTAAATAGTCCGTAGTGAATGAGTATTTATGAATGAGTGTGTATGGGTTGCAGCTGGAAGGGTATCTGCTGCGTAAAACATATGCTGGATAAGTTGGCAGTTCATTCTTCTGTGGCAACCCCTGATTAATAAAGGGACTAAGCTGAAAACAGAATGAATGAATGATTTCACTGATAAGTAACATCTTTACCTTTTCTCCATAGAAGTGAGGTCAAATCCCAAAGCAACTGCCAGCTCGGAGCCTAAAAGACAGAGTTCAGCATTCTAATATACAGGTTATATATGTGTGTGTTCTAGAAAATTATGTTAATTCATAATAATACGGCAACTCTCTGGTATTTTGGTGGAGGATACCTAACAGCTCACTGTTGCAGTCTGCAGCGACTACCTCCAGCTTATAGTAGGAGTGAGGGCTGTTGGAGGCCAGCTGAGGGGAAATATTAATGATATTGCCTTTAGTATTGTACAGTTTTAAGATGTCATGAGGTCCGGCCTCAGCTGCAGCTCGGAAAAGATCTGCGATGCAAACACACAGATATAAACATCATCAATTTCACTTGAAATAGTTCCAATCTTCATAACTGAGGTGGAATAAAAACTCAAATCATGCAGTTAAAGTGATAGTTCACCCAAAAATGAAAGTTCTGTCATCATTTACTAATCTGCCACAAACCAGTTTGAGTTTCTTCTGTTGAACACAAAAGAAGATATTTTGAAGAAACCTGAAAACCTGTAACCAGTGATGTTCATAGTATAGCATTTGTTTTTTTCTACTATGAATGTCAGCGGTTACCGGTTTTCAGCTTTCATTCATTCATTCATTCATTCATTTATTTTTCTTTTGGCCGCAAACAAGTATTGGGAAACACCGATATGCTCTCACATTCACACGCGCACTCATACACTAAGGCCAATTTTGTATATTCAATTCACCTATACCGTATGTCTTTGAACTGTGGGGGAAACCGGAGCACCTGGAGGAAACTCACACCAACATGAGGAGAACATGCAAACTCCACACTGAAATGCCAACTGGGACTCAAACCAGCAGCCATCTTGCTCTAAGGGTGACAGTGCTAACCACTGATCAACTGTGCCGCCTGGTTTTCAGCTTTCCTCAAAATATATTATTTTGTGGTCATCAGAAGAAAAATACATCTGAAACCATTTGAAGGAGTGTAAATAGTCTGTAAATTACTGTATAACATGTCTTTATTAAGTTTATTAAGGTTTTACAGTAATTCAAAACCTATTACTCAAATGTACCCCAGACAGGTTTAGGGAAATAATCAAATAAATAAATAACAATCATTAAAAAATGTAATCAAACACAAATTCACACATTTTATAACATTTTTAAAGCTTCCATTTTTCACAAAGTTCAAAAACACCTCCCAAATATCACAGAATTCAGAGGGTTTCTTTCTTACAGTTTTTCTCAATTGCCTTGGCTCAATTCTCGTTTGAAATTTTTATTTTTCAAAACCGTAAGTTTAGATCTCTAAACAATTAGCTTATTGTTCACTTCATAGTGGCATTTCTTATTGATTTAAACAAATTGTAACTGCTTTGGCACATGTGTGCAAACAGTAAGAACAATTGTCTGTAGTTTGGACAAAAAACTAATTGCATATGGCTTGTTGATCAAAACTGATGAGTCAATTCTTATTTAAACTGCAAACTCTTTACAACTTCTCAATAATTTTTCATTGTGTAAGTCATCACACTTAAAACTATTTAAAATATCAAACATTCGTATACATGCTTGTTTACAGTTTTTCTCGATTGCTTGGATGCAGTTGTCAACTGAAACTCCACATTTTCAAAGCAGTTAACACACAGGCCTAAACAGCGGCACTCGTGGTCAAAATGACACATTTTGCTTGCAAAAGGCACATATCGTGTCAAAACATTTAACATATGGAACAAAAGCTAGTTTTACCTTCAAACTACACAACTTGCAAACAAGTATATGAGCTCTTTCAATTAATCATTACACAATGGACAACAAAATACAAAATACAGAACTCAAAATGCACCACCATTGCTTGCCATTGTAGCTTATAGCCAATGGCATTTGTTGTCTCTATTTGGACTGTCAAATTCGCCTTTTTGCAAAGAATTAGATCAAGAATAAGATGTGCTTTGATTGAATATATATTGAATTCATGACATTTTTCAAACTGTGGCTGAAAACTGAAATACTGTATATAAAAAACAGACAAAAGTAATAAAATACTGTAAATATTAGAGAAAACACATGTAAACTAATACACAGTCAAAACTATTGGGAGTATAGGACATAACCATATTGACCTCCTCCATCAATGCTGGCACAGAACAACACAGACCTTCCATCGTTTTTATAAGGTTTGCAGAATGATGGCTAATTGAAGATTTGTGTGAAGGAGTGTCAAACCGGTGCTTCAGTGATTTCATACTGATGTTGGTAGTTTTTAATAGTTAGGAATAGATGGTTTCTGTTTGGTTACCAAAACTAAAACAATGGAGTTTGGACTGCTTGAATGACATCTGTGTTAACTGTTTGGAAAAATGGTGGGGAAAATGTGTCAACCCAATGAGAAAGGGTTTACACATTTGCAAGACCTGTCAAATCAATTTTCTTTCTTTATAAAAACAACAGTATTCATACAGTATATATTCAGTATACAAAATCCAGGACATAAAAGAACTGGATTGTGGGTAAATAAATTTTTTTTGGGTGATCTATTTAAAATTTAAATACACAAGTGATAGTGCTGGAAATGTCATGTGTTTCCTTTTTGGCACTTGAAGACTGACAGTGTCAGCACCACCTGTGACTCAAGCTGTCTAACCAAAGGGTGCGGAATTATTTGTTTATGAGTCAAATTTTGTTCACCAAGCATGAATATCAAATCAATGAAAGCTTTGATCTATCTAGAGAACTGGATTCTAAAATATAAATAGAAACATTATAAATATGATCATCCTCTGAATATCCATCCGGGTCAACATAATGGCTCTTCATATGGGCTCACTGTAATTGAGAGGTCCTGATTAAAGAAGCCGGCTGCTTTCAGTGCCCTTCAGAACGAGGACAGTCCTCAAGCTTGTTTTCAGCCAAATAACGGCTAATGAGGGCAGAGAGACCAATTTAGTCCTAACAAAAACTGCTTTTCTCATAAGAAACCCTATTTGATGTTCAAGCACAGATTAACAAAAGAGACTACTTATACAATCAGCACTTCTTATGGGATTGCATAATATAATTAGCTGTAATGTAATGTAATGTATTATTATATTATATTATATTATATTATATTATATTATATTATATTATATTATATTATATTATATTATATTATATTATATTATATTATATTATATTATATTATATTACATTATAGTATATTATATTATATTATATTATATTATATTACATTATATTATATTATATTATATTATATTATATTATATTATATTATATTATATTATATTACATTATATTATATTATATTATATTATATTATATTATATTACATTATATTATATTATATTATATTATATTATATTATATTGTATTATATTATATTACATTATATTATATTATATTATATTATATTATAATTTATAATGTATTATATTATATTATATTATATTATATTATATTACATTATATTATATTATATTATATTATATTACATTACATTATATTATATTATAATATAATATATTATATTATATTATATTATATTATATTATATTATATTATATTATATTATAATTTATGATATATTATATTATATTATATTATATTATATTATATTATATTATATTATATTATATTACATTATATTATATTATATTATATTATATTATATTATATTATATTACATTATATTATATTATATTATAATTTATATTATATTATATTATATTATATTATATTATATTATATTACATTATATTATATTACATTACATTACATTACATTACATTATATTATATTATATTATATTATATTACATTACATTACATTACATTGCATTACATTATATTATATTATATTACATTACATTACATTACATTAGATTGCATTGCATTACATTACATTAAATTACATTACATTACATTACATTACATTACATTATATTATATTACATTACATTACATTATATTATATTACATTATATTATATTATATTATATTATATTATATTATAATTTATATTATATTATATTATATTACGTTATATTATATTATATTATATTATATTATATTATATTATATTATATTATATTATATTATATTATATTATATTATATTATATTATATTATATTATATTATAATATAATAAATGATCATAATAGTATAATATAACAATATAACAATAGCTTAATATGATATAATAAGATAGTTTTGAATGATTATAAGTAATTTAATAATAACATAGTGTACATTTTACTGTATTGACTTCGAACTTCACACATTCATTAACTTTGAAAATGTAAGCACAGCACACCAAAAACCTATAAAGTTAGATTTAGCCTTCACTAATGAAATAAATAATTAGAGATGATCCTTACCTTTAACATCTTGTGCAGGACAGTCGATGGGAAACTCAGCTTGTTCTGGTCTTCCATTCACAGTAAAATAAATGATTTTAGTTGCCATGTCAGGGAAGGATCTGCTGCACTCTCACCTTTGCTGAATGATGTGTGTACAGTGTTACATCAGTAATTCAGCAGCCTATCATTCATTCTGAATCCCGCCCTCTTTTAGTACCATCTCCAGTGGTCCACCCCCTCTATCCTCAACACAATAAAACCATACTCAAGGCAAGACTCAAACAAGTTTCAGCATTATTTACTTTGTATTTTTATTGTTTTTTGCAATATTATAATTTATTTAAACAAAACAATGAGTAGAAATGGTATCATTCAAAACAACAACAACAACAACAACATGAGATAAGTAATTTACAACAACTACAATATTAAGATAAATAATATGCAAACACAGTAAAATCACTCTTGAGTTTATTTAATATTTAAGACATTTAGGAAAATGTAACTATTTATTAAAACATAATAAATAGCACAGATATTTATTAGCAATATTAAGATAATTAATATGCAAACAAAGCGAACTCCCTATTTATTTAGTATTTAGGACATTTAAGAAGATGTAAATATTTATTAAAACATAATAAAATGGCACAGCACAACCTTGGTCAATGCCGTTGGGTAGATAAGTTATTTATTACAAGTAAAATGTTAAGATAATTAATAAGCAAACAACGCAAACCCACTATTGATTTGTTTGTTTGTTTGTTTGTTTGTGTGTTTATCTAGAATTTAAGAAATTTAAGAGCATGTAAATATTTATTAAAACATAATAAATAGTACAGCACAGCCTTAGTCAACTCTGTTGGGTAGATAAGTAATTTATAACAAGTAAAATATTAAGATAATTAATAAGCTAACTGTAAACCCACTATTTATTTGTTTGTTTGTTTGTTTGTTTGTTTAGTATTTAATAAATGTAATACAGTGTAAATATTTAATAAAACATAATAAATAGCATAGCACAACCTTAGTCAATGCCGTTGAGTAGATAAATTATAACAAGTAAAATATTAAGATAATTAATAAGCAAACAACGTAACCCCACTATTTATTTGTTGTTTGTTTGTTTGTTTATTCATTCATTAATTTTTGGCTTAGTCCCTTTATTAATCTGGGATCGCCACAACAGAATTAACCGCCTTATTTATTTGTTTATTTAGTATTTAACAAATTTAATCCAGTGTAAATATTTATTAAAACATAATAAATAGCATAGCAAAACCTTAGTCAATAAGCAAACTACGTAAATTCACTATTTATTTGTTTGTTTGTTTATTTATTTCTTTAGTATTTAAGAAAGTTATACAGTGTAAATATTTAATAAAACATAAAAATAGCAAAGCACAACCTTAGTCAACGCTGTTGATAAGTAATTTATAACACGTAAAATATTTTGATAATTAATAAGCAAACAACGCAAACCCACTATTGATTTGTTTGTTTGCTTATCTAGTATTAAAGAAATTTAAAAGCATGTAAATATTTATTAAAACACAATAAATAGTACAGCACAACCTTAGTCAACTCCGTTGGGTAGATAGGTAATTTATAACAAGTAAAATATTAAGAAAAATAATAAACAAACGACGCACACTCAGTATTTATTAAGTATTAAAGAAACTTAAGGAAACTCAGACGTTTATTAAAACATATTACATAACATAGCACAACTGTCAACGCCGTGAGTTTAGTTGACTTTTATTTTGTAGCTTTTGCAGGCTTTTATTTTGAATTGTCGCTTGCATTAGCAGTTTCCTGAACGAGGCACAACGTGGTTTTAGGAGAAGCCATACGACAGTAGGTTCAAAACGTTTAGCTTTATTTATTTGACCACTGTTAGATTTCAATATGACAGAAGGCAAATCATCAGACAAGCCGGCGAAAAGACTGCTGGCTCTGAATCCGAAAGAGGACGCAGAATTTCAGAAGAAAGTGCAGCAAGTGAAGAAGCGTCCTCAAACGGTATGATGCGTGGCCATGTGGCCTTAGTTTAGCCTGACAGTGCTTCAGATTCACATTTAAAACGTGGTTGGAACAAAATGTTTCTTTTAATCACTAATATGCTGTAGCTAGAGTTAAGTTCGGTAAGATGAGTCTTGTTTACACTTGACGGTGCTAATGTAATGTTACTATTTGGTTTACGGTGCACATGTTACATTCAATATTTTGTTTTGCATTGAATGCGCTTCATAATTTGTTTTGGTCCTCTTTCAGGGTCAAACACTTAGTCCAGGAGTGCTGTATGTTGGTCATCTTCCTCGAGGACTGTTTGAGCCTCAGTTGAAATCTTACTTTGAGCAGTTTGGCAAAGTCTTACGATTGAGAGTTTCCAGGAGTAAAAAGGTATGACGTGCATTTGATTTATTACCTTAGTTTATAATGACATGACGTTAAATATAAAGTAAATTGCTCAATACAAATGGTCAAGACGTTCTAACGCGGACTTTCTGAATCTAATACATGTTAAAATGTTAAAATCTTGCTTTATTTATTAGATAAATTGTTTTATTTTGTGTTTGCCAGTACTAGTATATCTAAACATTTTTTAAAGGGATAGTTCACCAAAAAATTCTGCATCAATTACTCTTTCACTACTTTCTCCTCTGTTGAACACAAAAGGAAACAATTTGAAGAATGTTGGGAACTTAGCATGGAATCCCATAGTATGTTGTTCCTGCTATAGATGGAGGTAAAGTTGGTTTTGTATTAGAATATTCAGACATTCTCCTTAATATAATTTTAGAAAAGTATTCTTTGCAAATTTTAAATAGGAAAATCATATTAGCAGCAAATGACTAACAAAGTACAGCATTGTTCACAGCGAATTAGATAGTGTTGATGTTGTTTTGAAATCAAACATGCTAGTTCAGACTCGATATTCAACATAGCGTGGTAAACAATATAGAGACTGCTAAATGAACAAATGTGCAAATATAAAACCAACTTTTCCTCCATCTACTATAGATGCCAGTGGTGGCTGGGTTTTCAACAATCTGTAAAATGTCTTTTGATAAAGTCTTATGATTGAGTTTGCAGGAGTAAGGTTTTAAGCATTTTGTTACATTGGTTTGCAATGACCTGATGTTAAATATGAAGAAAGGTGGAAGAAGTGTGAGGTAAATGACAGAATTTAGATTAAACTTTTCATTTACGTAGGGTTTATTGGCAGATATTTCGTTTAATAATAAATTAAATAACATTTGGCCAATTTCACAGGGAATTAAGCTTTCTTTACTTTTGTTTTACAAATAAAATCAGCAAAAGCCCTGTAATTTCCAAACAAACCAATAAGAATTCTACAAGGAATCCTATAAAGAAACGCATAAGATCCTCTTGGATAAATACGTTTAATCCAATGAGGCCCAATTTGATTCTAAGAGGATTTTTAGAGAAATCTTATTTGATTCCCAGCGGGTTGCTTTCAGATAATCATCGGCTGCATCTGAATTGTATACTCTAACCATTTCTCATTAACTTTATAGTAGAGAAGTGTGCTTTTTTCTTTATGTAGCTGTAAACATTCTATCAGGATCTTGTGTTTTTTTTTTCTTTCTTTTTTTTCTCGTTTTTAATTTCTCTATATAACAACATGTTTAAAAGGCACAATCTGAAAATTACCTTTGGCATTTTGTTGCGATGGGTAAGATTATTGTGCCAACATTAATTCGGTACATTTAGCTTATTGCCAACTTCATGTAGTTGTGCAATGAAACCCATGTGCCTACATTAATATCACAATAGTCATATTGGGTGATAATGCTTTGCTGGAGGTTTTACCTCATAAATGATTGAACTGTCATCTTTCACAGACTGGTGGGAGCAAAGGCTATGGATTTGTGGAGTTTGAGTGTGATGAAGTGGCTAAGATTGTGGCTGAAACCATGAACAACTACCTTATGGGAGAACGCATTATAAAATGTGAGATGAGAGCATACAAGATTATTAATCATTATTTTTTTTGTCTGTGTGTGATGTTTTTTTATGAGTAATGCTGTGTATTGTACTTTTCAGGTCACGTTATTCCACCTGAGAAGGTTCATGAAAAGCTCTTTGTCGGCTCTATTGCTGGCTTCAAGAAGCCAAAGTATCCTGCAGTGACTCGGTATAACAAAACACACACAGAAGATGATGTGAAGAAAGTTGGCACAAAGCTTTTAAGCAAAGAGTCTAAGCTGCGCAAGAGACTGGCAGCAAAAGGCATTGACTATGATTTCCCAGGATTTGTAAGTACTACAGTCAGAGTATGTTTTAGTTGGGACTTTTAAGATGTTATCATTAATTTGATCATGTTTTTTTGTTTGCAGGCAGCACAGATTCCAGCTAAAAAGGCTCCATCAGAAGCAAATGTTTCAGTGTGCAGTGAGGTTAGTCTAATCATTTTAATTCAGCTTAATTTTTTTACCACTTCTGTATCTTGGCATATACTGAAAATTATTTCAGTTGTAACCATCAACTGGAGTAAGATAACTGTGCCGACAGAAAATGGTACATTTTAAGCTTATTGTCTGTCACTTTGACACGCAATGAAACCCATGTGCCAACAGTTACTGTAGTGTACTCTATTTTTTTTTATTTTGCACATGTTGTTAAGATGCATTTTTAGTGGATCTGATCACAAGGCTGATATCTGCTGTTTTTTTATTGTTGCATTCAGGATGTAACTCCAGTGTGCACACCTTCACTTTTGGAGAGGAGAAAGTCTCTCAGAGTTGAGGATGATGATGTTGATGATGAAATAGTCATCAAAGTCAAACCACTCCCAGAAAACAGTGATGATGTGGAAGAAAGTGAGGAAGAGTCTGCTGAAGAGGATGAAGGTGAAGAGGAGGAAGCGGCTTAAAAGGAGAATTTAGTGACTAATAAAGACTTTATTCGCTGATTCAGAAGGGGACGCTGGACTCGCTTTTCAGAGCCATTTGTATGCGATTAGTTCTCAGTTCTCCCCTAAGGCTGGAGAAGAGGACCACACATATTACTCGCACACATTATCCTGATTGTCAGGAATCTGTTGATTTGAGGCGTGTTATGCAGAGTTTGTGCCCGTGACCTTTTAAGGGTACAGTGTGGTTGACCATAGAGT